CTGGTGTGTCTCAGTGTGTCTTGGTTGTGTCAGTGTGTCCCAGGGTGTGTCACTGTGTCCTGGTGTGTGTCAGTGTGTCCCAGGGTGTGTCACTGTGTCCTGGTATGTGTCACCGTGTCCCGGTGTCAGGAGATGTGCAGCCACCTCTATCCAAGCACACCCAGCCCCCCAAGGCTCCCTCACCCCTCAGGCTGTGCCCACACCCTGCTGTCCCCAGCCCGAGGGTGTCCAAGTGCCCCGAGGCAGCAGCCCAGCACGGAGCTGTCTGCTTTGCTGTCTCTCCTGCCTCGTGATAAATGAGAGTCTATTCTTTTCTGCTATGTGGTTTGATCTTAATTTCCTGTATGAAGTTCTCGAGAGAATGCCAAGATCAAATAATTAGACTATTCTGCGATAAAGAGTTAACATTGTTATTCAAATGTATTCAGAATTCATTTACCACCAAACAATTTACGCTGCCGCCCTCCTATCCTGCTGAAATTACCAGAATGTGTTATCTGACACACAAAGCATCTCGTGACCTGAAATAACTTTATCAACCATGAAATGCTTGAGCAGTGGGTGCACGGTCACAGAAGTGCCCAAGGGAATGCAGGAGAAGCTACAGAGGCAATAAGTGATTTGAAACCACCCTGGTGCCATCCCCTGCCAGCCTCCCCAAAGAACACTGGCCACTCTGGTCACCAGGCATGAGCTGGGCAGAAAAACCCTGGAGCTGCCTTGCTGAGGGCTCCCACTCCAGCCTTCACGTCCCCCATGGCTGTGCAGCTCCCAGCCCTTGGGCGCTGCCTTTTCAGCCTGGAAAAGCCTATTTCTGTTTTATTTTTAAAAATACAACTTCATTTGCAGAGTGTGGGAAGGTGGTTTCAAAATAAAATTCCTGACAGGCATAATAAGCCTCAGAAAAGCCAATCACAGAGAGCAGGATAATTATCCCCAGAATTTGTTTTCTATGTATTTGTGTAAATAATCAATGATATTTTTCTCACACGGATTCCAATTTGATTGTGTTTTCTGTGTTACTTGCAAATCATACAAACAATCAATGCTCTGACCCCTTCTCTATGCAAACACAGCTTAGAGAGACACTACAAGAAATAAAATCCGATAAATTCCTCACGCAGGGTTGTTTGTTTAAAAGCTTTGCTGGAGACTGATCCTGCTCACAGCGACTTCGGAGACACAGGAGTGGGACTGTCAGACATGCTTGAGGTGGGATTATTGCCACAAATATCAGCAGGAATAGAACCTCAGTAAAAAACCTGGCACAAAAGTGAGGACACAGATGTGGAGGTGATGCCTTTTAAAATGCAGCAAGGAAAATGAACCCATTCCCTGGCCTGGCACACTCCTCCTGCAGAGGGGCACACAGCTGGGCTGGGGTGACCCAGGGGTGGGCTGGGACCCTTGCCCACAGAGGGGGCACATCAGGGGCACTCCTGGCAGGAGTGGGTGGCCAAGGGCAGTGATGGCAGCAGGGCAGCGTGGTGTCACCTTCTCAAACCCACTCGGGACTCTCCAAATCCAGCTCCTGCTCCCTGCCCAGGGGTCTGTTCTTTACAATTTACTTATCCCATCCCATTGGCATCCGATCTGCACATGTGTCTCACTAACACACAATCCCTCAAAAGAGTCACTCAGAGGAATTCCTGATGGTGCTTCAGCAAAGCAGAAGGCTGGAATGGCTCTGCTGGAGCCACCAGCCCTGCTCCAGCTGCGCCACCCATCCCGCCCTGCTTTGTTAGGGATGGTGCCACCAGCTCTACAAAATGGCATCGGGCTCTGTCTGTGTGTTTAATCTGCTTTTTAACCCGAGTGTAGGTTAGCCAAATGGGCTCTCCACGGCCCCAAAACACCTCGCTGGCACTCCTTTTAGCTGCGACGTTGCAAATGCTCCGCAGCTCCTGGTAGCAGGTGTGATGTGCCGGAGCTCAGCCGCAGCGAGGGCGGGCAGCAGCGCAGGATCCCTCGGCGGGGTGAGCAGCTCCTCACACCAGCACCCTCCTCTGCCTCTGCTCCAGGGAACTTGGAGCTGAATTGAGCACTCGGGTGGTGTTTTCTGATACGGCTTTTTCAAATATTTAACAGATTGCGTAATAACCGAGCAGCTGTTGAATAAGATTCAGATACCAACTCCTGCTTTAAAAAGCGCATCCTGTACCAAGGCACAGATTTTCTTTGTACGGGTGCATGTATAGATTATGTTTAGATGTGTAGATTAAATATTTATATTTTACTGGTGGGAGAAAGAGCGCTTTTGGCTTTTTCTTCCATTTCTTAGATATCTCTCCCTGTATTTATTTTAATAGTCAGCTTCACAGGGAAAAAAGAGAGCTTTGAGAAGTTACCTGCTTTCTCTCTGGTTTGATTTTCAGTGCTAAACCAATAGTTACTTAAGTGTTCTGCACTTCTCGGCATAACCTAATAATTAAAATAATTACTTGAAAGCCAAGGCAGCTTTGCACAAATTAATGCAGGGCAAGAAGCTGCAGTTTTTCAGTGGGCTGAAAAAGAGGTCACAAAATGATGCCAGTTTTAGCTGAGAGAGAAGGTAAACACAGATCTCCCTGCAGCCCCGATTAAAGCCTTTTTTTCTGATCTTTTAAGTTTCTTACTTTACTGATCAAGAAGGTGGCTCGATGAGGGGCTGACTGTTGTGGGATTTCTCAGCAGGTAAAGCGAGACTGTTCCTGTGGAAGGCACGACAGTGCTGGCAGTGCCACAGCAACCCTTCCTCCCTTCCTGCCCGCCTGCCTCCATCCCTCCCTGCCTGCCTCCATCCCTCCCTGCCTGCCTCCATCCCTCCCTCTCTCCCTGCCTCCATCCCTGCCTCCATCTCTCCCTCCCTGCCTCCATCTCTCCCTGCCTGCCTCCATCTCTCCCTGCCTACCTCCATCCCTCCCTCCCAGCCTCCATCCCTCCCTCCCTGCCCGGTGAAGGGGAGCAGAGCTGCAGCAGACCCAAGCGCTTTCGTGGAGGGCTGGCAGCAATCTCTGCATTGAAATCTCCTCTGTCCTTTTGTGCAATTGCTTTGAGCCTAGAAAATCCATTTTCAGGACAACTGAGGCACTGAGAGTCGAGACTAAACATCTCCACAGAGCCCCCAGGGACACTCCTGAGCCTGAATATCCCCCAGGAGCCAGCTGAGCGTTCCCTGGAGCCTCAGCAGCCGCCAGCCCCAGCGGCCTCAGCCCATTCCCCGCGAGCATCTGCCACAGCTGCAGCTGCCCCTCGGAGCACCAGCCTGGCAGCAGCCGGCTCTGGCCACCAAGAATCAGGCCCGCTGCTGCCAAGCCCAAAGCAGGAGGAGCTGCCAGCCCGGCAGCCCAGCTGCCACAGCCCCCGCACACGGCTGGCGGCCCCCAAGGCGATCAGAGCCCTGGGACCTGCCGGGGAGGGAAACTCCGCCACGGCACTGCGGTGCTCGCTGGGGACAGGCTGGTGACACACGGGGGGGCTCTCCCAGCAGGACACCTCCTCCCCGCTCCTGCAGTGGGACTGGCGGAGCCCAGCGCGCCCTGTCAGCAGCCACCGAGCTTCCCTGGGAGTGGGTTTGTGTGGCACAAAACATTTCCAGCTGTTCCAGGCGGAGGCTGAGCATACTAAACAGCTTGGCTCTGGTTAAAGTTCAGCAGCCGCCAGAGCCCCAGGCCCGGAGGCAGATCCATTAACCTTTTTCACCAATATTTCTGGCACTACAATGTGCACGGGATAACATCTGCCTGGAGTGCCCCATTCGCGGAAGTCTGGGGGAGACCAGCTGCTCACCCTGCAGGAATTAAGCCCTTGTCCATGAGATGATCTGGGCCATGCAGACACTTCAAGCCGTGCTGGAGGTGACAGTGTTTCACTTCAAAAAGCACCTGTCCCTCAGGAGCAGCATTTTTCTCTTTCTGGCTTTCACATTGCTGCTGTGCAGTTGCACTGGCATGAGTAAGACCCTTTTTTTTTCCCAGTTAAAATTATTCACCTATCTATTCAGTTTTCACTCGTTTTTCTGAGTTAAAATTTGAACCGTCAAAAAGCAGGTAAACTTGTCCTTGTAATTTTTAGTGGGCAGACAGCAAATCCCCGGGAATGTGTACCAATGGCAAAGTGCATGGGATGTAACAGAAATCAGCGCCGTTCTTTACATGACATGATTAAAACAAGTATCTCGTTTAATTAGGAAAAGAAAGATCGCAGACTCATTCCCAGGATGTTATCTGTGCAGTTACTTTATGTAACATTATTAAAAATTAATTTTCCCCAGAACCTCAGCAATTTAATGAAACACGCCTGGTCCTCAGCAGCAGCTGCAGCGGAGCCAGCCCACTGGCATCCTCCAGGCAGCGGGACTCGGTGCCGCGGGCTCCCCCGGGCTGTCTGTCCCTTGCTCTGGGCACATCCAGCCCTGGGTCAAAGCACCCCTGCACAGCACCCTATTGCCGCAGGCTCAACAGCCTTCCTCGCACCGGGTACCGCAGCCCTCCTCCTCACAAGCTCCGCATGCCCCCTCTCCCGGGGCTCGGCATCCCCATCTCTGTGAGCAAAAATCCTCATTCTCCAGGGAATCAGCATCCCCCCTCTCTGGGTGCCCGGCATCCCCCGTCTTTGGGGGCTCAGCATCCTCCCTCTCCACAGGCAAATCATTCGTCCTCTCCGGGAGCAAAGCGTTCCCCTTCCCCGGGGAATCAGCACCCCACTCTCCAGAGGGACAGCACTGTGCTCTCCTCTCCGCGAGGTGCCCAGCACCCCCTCTCACCTCTCCCGGGGCGGCTGCTCGCACCCAGAGCGCTGCCCGCTCCGTTCCGGGACACAGCCCCCGCCTCGCCGCGCCGCCCCGGCACCGGCAGCGCGTCCCCAGCCCCGGCCAGGGCATCCTGCACCGGGGGAACCTCCGCCCCGGCACCGGACAGCGCATCCCGCAGCCCCGGGTACCGCATCCCCCGCCGCGGCCCCGGGCAGCGCTCTCTCCGCCCCGGCCCCGAAGTTCTCCCGCCGCCGCCGCCGGCCCTTACCGATCCGGATGACATGCGGCATCCCGTGCGAGCTCTGTCCCCAGAAGCCGCCGACCAGGAGCGCTGCCCAGTATTCCCAGAGGACGCGGCGAAGCGCCGGCCAGAGATGGGGCATCGTTGGGGAGGTCGCGGGCCGGCGCGGCCCTACGGCCCCAGGGGCAGCGGGGACGCGGGCGGCTGCTGCCCGGGGCTCAGGCGGAGCGGCCGCTCGGCGCCGGGGCCGGGCGGCTCATGGCACATCTTGCGGCAGCCGCAGCTCCGGCCGCTCCCTTTCGAGCCGAGCCGAGCCGAGGCGGGCCGTGCCGAGCCGTGCGGTGCCGGTGCCGGTCGGGCGGCACCTGCGGAGCCGGGGCTGCCGGTGCGCCCCAGGAGCGGCTCTGTCCCCTCCTACCGCTGATGCGCGGCTCGCGCAAAGCCCCGGAGTGGAGCGTGCACACACCGACACACTCACACCCCCTGACACACACCCCCGACACACGCACACACCCCGGCACACACCCGGCACGCCGCTGACACCCCGGCACCCGCCCGCTCCCCCGGGGCGAGGGCAGCGCCGGCGGCTGGCGCGGGGCGGGATGCCAGCGGGACCCTCGGCGAGCACCGCGGGGCGGGGGGCGATGGCGAAGGGGTCCCGGCAGCGCCTCCGTTCCCTCTGCCCCCGACGGAGCCCTGCCACGCAGATCGCGGGGTGCCCGGTGTCCCCCAAGCGCTCGCGGGTCCCTGATGACCCCGGGGTCCCGGTGTCCCCGCCGGCGGGCGCCGGGAGAGGCCGGGCAGGGGGTTTGGGGCTGGGGCCGGTGTCCCGGGGGCGGGAGGGGCCGCTGCAGCAGGGTGACCGCGGCGGGCGCCCGGCCCGCGCTCCGCAGCCGGGAGTTTAATGACCTCGGTGACAGAGACAAAGGGCTGCCCGTGCCGCGGACCGGGAGCTGCTTTGTCAACGTGCTGGGCCAGGCTAGGGTGAATTTCTTTCTTTCTCATTTAAATAATTTGATCTATTCCATCATTTCCAATCGTTGCCATTTGCTAGCTGTCTGCTAACTCCAGCCTGGAACAGCTGAAGAGCAAATCTTTAATTTTCTTACAAACATACTATTACTCTGTATCGGCTCATCTCTTTAATTTTCCTTGCCAGCAGCAAGCTCGGCATCCTGAAATGCTGATCGCCGTCCTGCACTCTGCTCCAGAGCCCCATCCCGGAGCAGCCTCCGGGAGCCGGGGTGTGCGGACTGGAGGAGGAACACCTCAAGTCATTATTGATCTACAGCTCAAAGAGAAGTTGCTGCGTGTCGCCTCGGCCAGCAGGCAGCGAGTGCGGGACGGTGCACACGCGGGGGATTCCCTGCGTGCCCGCTGCAGTGCTGTCTGGGCTCTGGCTGATGGCACAGCAGCGGCAGGGGGGGATTGGCCGGGGAGTGTGACAGCCGTCACCAGCACGGAATCATGAGGGAAAGCTGGAAGAGTCTCTGGCTGCACGGGCGGGGCAGGACCAGCCCCTCCCGGGGATGTTTCGGTGCCTCCCTGGGCCGGTGCCTGGCTGGGAAGGCGCAGCTGAGCGTGGCTGGGGTCTCAGCACTGTGTCGTGGTGGAGGGCACGTCTTACTCCTTCCTCTTCTTCGTCTTACTCCTTCCTCAGCCCCGAGGCAGAGGGGCTGCTCAGCCCCCTCCAGGCGCTGCCACAAGCTCGGTCTCGGAGGAGGGAGATTGTTGGTGTTGATTGTGGGCAGGGCCGAGGCTGCAGCTCCCAGCCCGAACCTCCCTGCCTGTGCTGAGACGGTTACAGAAAAGACTGGCTGGTGTTAAGGATATTTTTATCCCTCCTGACACCAACATGGATAAGATTTAGCAAAAGGGCATGGAAGAAAATTTCTTTAAATACTGCTTAAGTGAAGGACAGCTGTTTCTGTGAACTTGTTATAAAATTAAATGTCACAACCTGGTGACTCTTTGCACCTGCAGATAAAAAAGCCCCACAAAGCTGTTGGGAGGGAGCAGGTAAAAAGGGCTGTTTCGGCTGTGGCTGTTCTTTGCTCTTTGCAGACTCCAGCACACAGAGTAGAGGTTTGATTTTGTGGAGAGTTTAAATTAAACTGTAGCTGGGAGGAAATATTCTGTTAGTTTGGAATGCTGCTTCCTGCCTTTCTGTCAGTACCCGGCACTGATAAGGCTCCAACCTCAGCTTCAGCCTCTGGATCCTACTGCAGAGCCAGCACAAATAGTTTATTTTGTATTAAATTATTTGATTAGTGGCAGATGGGTGCGTGGTGGTCATGGACAGTCCTCATCTCCTGCGTGTAGGTCAGACAGAGCAGGACAGGAACAGCTCTGTGCCAGAAATTACCACAGCAGTCGAGCTTGGGCACAGGCAGAGGAGCACTCCAGGGCTGCTCGTGGGCTTTCATGGCTTCTCCTTCCCAAAGCAACCTGAGGTGTTCAGCAGAGCAGCTCACATGGCTGTGTCTCCCGCCCTTTGTATTCCCACATCTCCACACTGTCCCTAACCCACCATGGCTGTGTCTCCCTCCCTTTGTGTCCCCACACTGTCCCCAGCCCACCATGGCTGTGTCTCCCTCTGTGTTTTCCACATCCCCACACTGTCCCCAGCCCACCACGGCTGTGTCTCCCTCCCTTTGTGTCCCCACACTGTCCCCAGCCCGTCCCTTGTGTCACTTGGCAGTGCTCCTCTCTCTGGGCAGCACCCAGGGCATCCCAGGGCTGCTCTGTGGCAGGATTACAAAAAGGGCATTTTGGGAACTTCTCTCAGGTGTTGCACCATCGCTGCTTGGGGTTTTTTTGCCCCATTCAAAGACTCAATTTCACCTGCTGCCCATGGAGGGGCTGCAGACCTGTGAGCAATGACCTTCAGCAGCCAGGCCGGACTTCCCCTGGAGCCAGAGCCAGGTTGTGATGGACAATTACAGCCAGGATGGCTGGACAAAAGCAGGAAGAACCTAGAAGGCTGGTAGAGCTCCTCATGGGCCCAGAGCTCTGGCTCGGTGCTGCTGGCCAGGGGGATGCTGGCCTGGGGAGCAGCATTCACACCAAGCTGAGTCAGGACTTCCTTCAGGAATCCTTGGCTGTGCCTTGAGGACAATCAAAGGTAGCAGAAGGGCTTTGGCTTTTGATGACTTGTTACAGCGATGCTAAAAATACAAGATATTTGCCCAGTTCATAAGTGCTGTGAAAATAGCTGTAATGTGGTAATTCATCATTTAAGAGTGTATCAATTAATGCAAACTCTGGTGTATTTATAACTCGTGAACATAGTGTACCAGTGAAGTCGATTCGTTATTTTGAGTTTGTTGAGAAGATATTTGGATGTTAATTTTTCGTGCTGCTGTTTTTACTATGAATATGTGTGGTATTTAGAGCTCCAGGTATTACACAGGTCAAATTCGAAATTGTGTACATCTTATGGGGGTTTTATATACGTAAAAAATTCGGTCCTCTCACCTACAAATAAAGCTGTAGATTTATGGGTGTTCTCAAGACACTGATTTAAGACTTCTTATTTTTGAATATGAAAGGGAACCACTTGTAAAAGTGGAAAATAGTGTTGAGATTATTAATATCTAGAGGAAAATGCTGATTGACTAAATACATTTTCAAATAGGAATAATGCTTTAGAGCAGCAGCAGAACTATGAACCTGGCAGAAAGAGACATAAGCATTTCTATAGCTATAGCATTTTTCAATACTAATGAAGAACAAGAGGCTTCTCTTTATTTCTGTAATGGTATCTAAACTGGTTCGTTGGAATTAGATCCATCCACATGTGTTTTGTTTAGATTTATATGCATCAGGCCTAATAGAACCACAATCAATCAGAGTTATGAGGCTCAGCGCTCGCATTACCGAGATTCATGTGCCGAAGTCGGCTCCTAAAACATCAGAGAGGGATTATACCTGGGAAATGCGGATTTCTGGGACTTGAGTGCCCTCTGCTGAAACCGTCCCGGCTCCGGCCCTTCGCTGTGACACCCGCAGCTTGATTGATGGCTCGCTAAATTGAATCGAAGCCTGCGGTTCACAGATCCATTATGAAGGATCCCTCCTTTCCTTCCTCCCCGCGCTCCAACACTCCGGTTCATTCTGGCTCCGGCAGCTGTGCCACGGCAGATTTGCTGGTTTAAATGGCAAGTTTAGATGCTGTAAGGATTCCTTTGGGTGTAACCATCCGGGAGCCGTGCTGGCATCGAGGAAGGCTGGGCTGGGCACGGCAGTGCTGCAGGAGGAGCTGGATTTGCCCGGGGAGTTTGGGTCTGCTCGGTGCCAGCAGCCGGGATGAGGCGACGCTGCCACCCACGCTCCAGCAGCTCCCGCAAAAGCAAACCCCGGCCATCCGCATTCGCCTCGCTGCGATTTGCGTTGCATCTTGCTTGTTGTGGGGCGGAGGGAAGAGGGAAAATTCCCACTTCCCACTCGGCATTCCATCTGGAAGGGAGAGGCATTGTGTTCGTGCCTTGCCGGCAGGGTTTCTGTGCTTGGGATGGAGGCAGGTGGGGCCGGGGCAGAGAGGGAAGTGCTGCCAACTCGTGTGTTGTGCTGCTGGGCAGCTGATTCCAAAGCTGGTTTCCCGCTCAGGTTTTTGTGAGGTTTATTCTCTAATAAATTCCCGTGGTGAAGGGGTGGCTGCTCTGTCCGGGGTAGGAAATGTGGGGTTTCTGCAGTCTGTGCGCCGCTTGCGGAATTGTTGCTTCGCTACACTGCATATATTTGTGTTGGAACATACCGCGGTATAATAGCTGGTTTGAAATGTATCCAGTTCTGCTGAATACATTATTGTGAAAGTCAGGAGAACGCGCTGGGAGAACGCGAGCTCCTGTCAAACCCAGAGCAGCGACGCCCCACAGAAGCTGGGAGAGCGGGAAGGGGCTGGGAGCAATGCTGCACTCCCTCCTTGGCTGGGCTGCCTGCTGGAGCTCAGAGCAGAGCCCCGCTGGGGCCCGAGCAGATCAAAGGGTGCTCTCAGATGCGGCTGGCATCACCCCCGCCGTGCAAAGCCCACCCCGAGCAGCAGGAGCCGGGACCTGCCCATCGGCTGCTCGCAGCCAGCAGAGCTGCTGGGAGCAGTACGAGAGCTTGTCCCCAGCGTCAGGCTGGCAGGAGATTTCCTTCCTTCCTTCCTTCCTTCCTTCCTTCCTTCCTTCCTTCCTTCCATGGTGTTTGTAGCACCACTTTCTTCCTCTTCCCCCTTCCAGAGAGCAGAAATGGGGGTGAGACAAGGACTGTGCTGGGAGTGCACAATGAC